TTCTTAACCCCCTCTTCCTAAGGAGGTCCCTAAATTCCACTGCGTCCTCCTTGAGACTCTGCTGAAAGAGAAGGCCTCTCTCTTTAGGAAAAAATAGAAGTGAAAGCATATTAAGCCTGTACACACACACACACACACACACACACACACACACATTAGGAGCAATTTTGTGGGAATTCACACTCCCCGCTCCGAAACCCAGGGACTACAGCTCTGGGGTAAAATGTTTGGTCTCTGCTGTTGGCCAGATGGAGTTTTAAATACTGGTTGTATGTAGTGTTTAACAATGATGCTTGTCTACAGGAAGTGCTCAGGAAAACGGAGGTAACACACCTTTTCCAGAAACAGTACCCCGATGTGGGTAATGTTCAGAGAGAGAGACAGGGAGACAGGGAGAGAGAGAGGCTGGGCAGCTCAAAACCAAGATTTTAGAGGAAAGAGGTTTGTTTTCAACACTGAAACAGGCTGATGTTGGCTCTCCCTCTGCTGGCCTGTGGTTAGCACACACTCTTTGTTTTGATCCTAGCGAGTGTTGGCGTGGTCCTGGGAGAAGGCCATGGAGACAAAGGCGGGAGGGAGATGGAGAGTCAGGGAGTTCACGGGTTAGTCCTGAACCAGGGAATATACTGGACAAACTAGGGTCAGCTCAATGCGTCTGTCCCTTTGTTTTTCTGCCTTTCCTTGTAAGTTCTAACTATTGCATTTGCTGAGCAAATCCTGTCCGGATATCTGCTATGGGGAGGCACGGTGATACAACATAAAGCACAACCCACAAATGCTGGGTCTCATTACCAGGTGCTTGCCTTTATTTTCTGACTTATGGTTTCAGTTGAACTCAGAGGGCACAGGTTTATGCTGCCTGGGGTAACGGTGAAGAGCAAGGGCTTAGAGCTCTGATTCAGTGCTGCCCTTACTAGTGGAGTGATTGCTTCCCTGGAGCTTGAGCTGTCTGAGCCTCAGTTTGCGCATCTATAAAAAGGGGCTAATCATAGTCCCTACCTCATAGTACTGGTATGAGGATTAAATAGTATGTTGGATATGTAGTGGAGGGTTTAGCAATAAGAAGAACCTAGTAAATGGCAGGTAGTAGCATTATTTTTATTCTAACATAAATATGGTATTTTTAAAGTCTTTCTTATTTTTAAAATTCTACAATAATGCTTATTATATGAGATCAAACCACTTGAAATTGCTAGCATTGAGTCAGTTTTGATCTACAGAGCTAGCACATTTTCAAATGGCTCAGCCTAATAGAAGAACTGGAAAATTCATATTGCAAAATAGAAATTATTCATAGCACCACCAGCCAGGGATACACATTTGGGTGTATCCTTCTGACCTCTTCTACGTATGTAAATAAATAATGCTGATTGCAAGTAGGAGTGCAATCCTGATCAGAGCAGGTTCTTAAAATCTCAATCTGACTGGTGAAGGAGGGGTCAGAGTGTCTCCAGAGGTCGCCACAGTGATGGGTGGAGCTTGTGGGCAGTTGGGGGCACTGTTAACATCCACTCCACTGGAGGGAGATGCCTGGGTGCTCTGTCTCTGTAAGAATCTTCTGGAACAGTGGCCAAGCTGTCTATCCGTCCCTCCACTTGTCCCCTCCCAAGAGCACAGTGCTGACTCAGCAGCTACACTTGGCCTTGGCCAGTGAGAGGTGTGGCCTTGACAAGTGATTTCATCGGCTCCTTAAGATGAGATGAATTGTTGCTTCGACTTTATAATTTTCCAACCACACTGGATAACCAGGGTTTCTGCTAGAGCTCAACTACTTACTACAGCAAAACTGTGGTAGAGCTAAACCTCTCATCTCCTTTTACTATGCCAAGCTTTTTTCCAACATCAACAAGTCCTCACTATTTTTAGAATGGGGACATGGCTGTCTGGCTGTGCACAACCTCGCAAAGTTAGCAATGCATATCGAGAATTTCTTAAGTATACAGCTGCTCCTGTCCAGGGGGCAGGGGGCGCTGGATCCAGAGGGGTCAGCTCTCTCGGTCCTCCGGCGCTTGGCTGATGAAACTCTCACCCACCGATGTAGATGCAATTTAACAACTGTGCTGTCACGTCCCGTAGACACTCACTTGGTTTCCACCATCCCAAACTGATGACAGTGAGCACTGTGTGCAAGAGCCCTGGACCCAAATTCTGAGCCTGCTGCTCACTGAGCCTGTGACATAGAACAAGTCACTCATCTTCCCTGGCCTGTAGCCTTCCCAAAAGGAAAAACTGAGGGCTTTGAGTCAGGTGGTCTCCAAGCCTCTCTATACCTTAATGGGAATCCTTTCTCTTCCTGTTCAGTGGGTCTATGGACTAGGAAGTGGTAAGGATGCAAATTTCCAAGGGAGAATCAGAAACTACGGGAGTTAATTTTATTCATTAAGAGCACAATTGAGAGAATGAAGAGGCAAGCAAGATTGCAATGCATGTGTCTGACAAAGGACATATACCCAACATATATAAAGAACCCCTACAAATCAGTGAACAAAAGGACAACCAAGCCAAAGGAAAAAGCAAAATATTTTACCCAAGAGGGATTTACAAATAGTTGATAAATTTATGAAAATGTACCTAACTTTATTCTTTATTAGTCCTCAAGGACATTCAAATTAAAACCACAAATAAATACTCTCCCTCTCTCTTTCTCTCTGTCTCTCTCTCTCTCATACACACACACACACTCACACTCACATACACACCAGAATAGCTAACATTAAGGACACCAGTGAAGCCAAAATTGGAAGAAGATGGGGAGCAACTAGGATTCTATACACTGCAGACTGGACTATACAGTGGTACAACCATTTTGGAAAATCATATGACATTATCTATGAAAGCTGAATATATATATAAATATGAACTAGTGATTTACTTCCTTAGGAGTATACTCCTAAGGAGTATACTTCCTTAGGAGTATACAGAAAGGCATACATGTTTCTCTCAAAAACCTTGTACAAGAACACGGCACTTTTCCAAAGGAGCTGACAACTGGAAACCACCCAAATTTCCATCAACTGCAGAATGGATAAATAAATGTGGTGTATTTATACAATGGAATTCTAAACAGCAGCGAGAATGAACACACTACTACTAAACATGACTTGGATGAATTTCAAAATATAATGTAGGGAAAAGGAAACCAAAAACAAAAGAATACATGCCGTATTATTTCATTTACTTAAATAGGCAAAACTAACCTCTACTACCAGAAGTCAGGGTAGTGGTTTCCCTTGGGGGTAGGTAATGACTGGAAAGGATCCAAGGGGCTTCTGAGATGCTGGTAACATTGTGTTTCTTAATCTGAGGATTAATTACAGAGATGTCTTCAGCTGATAAAAATTCAAAGAGCTGTGCACTTGGGACATGTGTAATTTTGGGGGGTGTGTATGACACATTGACAAAAAGGTTTTATGTAAAAAAATGGAAGTTGTAAGTTTCATTAGATGTTTGGTATTCTTTGCCTAACATCCCCACCAGAGGCTTTAAAAAAAAACCTAGCTTCTGTTGATCATTCTCTTTCTCTAACATACTCTGTGTCATGTAATCCAGCATTCAATCATGTGCTATTTTCCATAGTTCTCTGATTATTTCACTTGCTTTAATCCTGCTCTGCCAACCACATTATGAATTCTAGAACGTGGAAGGTATGTTTTTTGCTTTCGGACTCAGGCAGAAACTTGCCCATCTATGCCTCAGATGCCATCATTAGGGGACGAATATTCCCATGTCATACTATTGTCCTCAACCCCGACTTCTTCTATATTTCTCAAGTGTTCATAACCTTGTCAGTTCAGCCTACCCCTGAACTTCCCATTTATAACATGTGCATAATACCCTGTCCCTTTTTCTCTGGATCGCTCTGGCTTCACTGCACAAATTCTGCACAAATTCAGCAGCTGATCCATGCTGGATACTATGAGATGCCCCAGGCCTGCTGAGATCATGAGACTGAGTCCTCAGCCCCAGGAGCTCTGTGGATGGCTAGGGAAGACAGACTCAGAGATGGAAAATGTCTCCATTCATTAAATATATGGAAGTAAAGAGGACAGGTACCCAACCCAGCCACGGGTGATTTAGAGAAGGCTTCCAGAGAAGGAGTCATCTTAGAATTGAGTCCTGAAGAATAACTAGAATGTGGCCAGGTGAAGAGGGTAGAAAGTCCTTTCAGGCAGAGGAAATGGTGAGTAAAATCACAAAATCATGAGACAGCAGAGTGTGTATATGAGTGTGCATGTGCATGCATGTGTGTGTGTGAGAGACAGAAGGCTGGGGATGGCCGATAGGGTTTTACAATCAATTGAGGGTATCTCTAGATTCTAAATGGGGGACTTGGGAAGGCAAAACATTAGCAGTGGCAGTATATGAAGCTAAAGGGTTATGTTGGGCTTTGAATGTTAAACTGAGATGTTCCAACCTAGTTATGTACAACAGGTGTTGACATACTATAGCTGGGAGCCAAATCTGACTTTCCGCTTATTTTGTAAATAAAGTTTTATTGGAACACAACCACATCCACTCGTTTATATATTGTCTATGGCTGCTCTTGCACAAGAATAGCAAATTTGAATAGTTGCTACAGGGACCACACAACTCAGGCCTTCATGACCCCCAGTGAAAGAGATGATGATCCATTAAGGGGCTCTAGGTAGAGGGTAGAGATGACTCATTGTGTGTAACAGGAAAGCTATATGTCACCCCAACATAGCTTTGGTCCATGCTGTGGAATGGAGACAATTTTGCTTAAATGCTACAGAAGCATCATTGAAGGCCTTCTCAGGTAAGGTACTCTATTTTCTGAGCACAGGACTCTACTTAGCTCTCCTCCACACCTGTGAGGAATGACTGACACAATGGATACAATTCCACCAACGTGGAATCCACCAACCTTGGGCTACTGGTGGTTCTCCAACATGTAGGCTTCAGTTAGGAAACTAAAAGTACCACACCTGTTTCCCCTTTTGAGTTCACAAACCAACTGTTAGAAAATCCTAGCAATCAAATAAGTAGAAACTAAAACATTATCTTTATTGTTAGTACCCTTGAGTTAGACAAACATCACCTCACAGACCATGGCTGGACTGACCAACTTCAGGGTTCTCCCATGAAGACTTGTTCCTGAATATTCATTTCTGCAAGTATGCAGTGACATACAAAGACAGAGAGAGGCAGGCTGAGCTCCTCCCCCAAGCACACCAATCAGATAAGTCACTGCTCCATCCTTGGAGAGGGAATGGGGTGAGAGAATAGGAGTGATACTCTAATGGAGCTCCCTCCACATGGAAGCATGAAGGCAGAGGAAAGGGAGAGTTCCATCACCAGCTCTGACATTATTTTCTATGTCTTTCAGCAACATGCTGATGTTAGACTCTCATAGGATTATCTCTTTGGGGCCATTGGACCAGACTATGCACCGAGGTCCTCGCTGTCGGTAATACTGAGAAAATGCTGATGCTGGAGGAAGAAACAGGACCAGGCATGAATCTCAGACTAGGTGAAGATTGGTTCGGCCTGTAGCCTGAAGTGCAAATGTACTGGAGTATTTGTGGTAGTGGGAATTTAGCTGAAGGGGCAGGTATGTGGAGGTCAGGCCACCAGAAAGGAAGGGAGGTGGCCTGAGGAGACACCCGAGGGAAAGAATGAGCCAGTTGAGAAGAGTTCTGAGTTCTAACACCACCACCCCAAGCACAGCCCTTCCACCGTCTCTGAAACGTCAGTGCAATCCTGTTCCACAGCCAATCCCAGTTGTTTGTCCTGTGCTTCTGAGGGAGTAGCAGAAGGAAGAACAATGCCAAGCTCCTCTGAGGTCACAGTGGTGGAAAGAGTAATAACAACTAACAACCACCATTTCCAGAAGACAGGCCAGCCCATCCCCCATTAGAAGCAAAGGTGGCAGCATGGCGGCACAATAGGAAACCCGGAGCCCAAGAACCCAGGGTTCACGCCCCTGAGAGTGCAAGCCACCCTGTGCCTCTCAGATACAGCCAGCGACATTTTGAGGAAAGCTGCCTCCTAGGGATCGTATCGGTGGGACTCAAACTGTCATAATTTGGGCATGAAGGTAAATGAGGTATTAATCTGAAATCACAGACAACATACGCAAAACACTTAGCCCATTTGCCGGCTCATAATAACCAGTAACTTCTCAACCAACAGGACCTCTTGTCATTTTTACTGTTGTAGTGTCACGATCGGTGCATCTTGGCTTTCATTTCCCTAGGGTGACTGATGAATAGGTCACTGTGGCTTCAGAGCTATTTGGGGATCCCCAGCCAGGCACTTGACAAGGATTTGTGGAGAGGGAGGATTCCAGGTTATGCTTTAAGGACAGTAGGGATTTGACTTTGCAGAGATAAAGCAGGAGCTCTACAAAATGTGGGTCAAGGCCGCTGAAAGCTGGGCTGCCTGGGGGGAAGCTTGCTAACAGCCGCTGCACACACAGGCTATGGAAGGTGCGAGTCAGGAGAGGAGGAAGAGAAGCAGGAAGTTTATACAAGGTGATTTTGTAGAAGATCAAACCTGACATATTTGCAGGACCTGTATAAAAAATGCAAAACAGCCATCTCTTTTAAGAACCATCTTCGAAATTGCAATAAATTCTCCCTGACAGAAACTCAGTCAAGTCCAGCATGTAATCTCCCACTGTCAAGAAGAGTAACGCCAAGTGGTATGTGTTCCTCTACTATAAAACAAATAAATAAATAAATCAGAGGTTGCTGGCCTGGGAAGATGGAAGTTAATTTGCCAAAGCTGCTTCTCAGGGCTCAGCTTGCTCACCTCGTAGGGTCTCCTTTTATCAGTCTTGTGCAAAATGAGTACTTCTAGGGAAGCCCTCTTTGGCCAGTTCTCTCTAGTGCCATATCCCCCACAAAACAGGAGTAAAAGGATCTAGAATTACACACCGTGGGGCTTGAACTCTCACTCCACCAGTTATTATTAGCTATGTAGTCTTGAGCAAGTCGCTTTCCAAATCTAAGCCTCAATATCCTCACCCGGAGAGAGACTGAGAGTAGCACCCACCTTACAAGCCTTACTTGGAGGAGCAGGTGAAATCAGCCACGTGAACTACAAGTTGGCACTCAGTGAGTGCTCAACGAATGCGAGCTACTATTGTCACCCTCGTCACTATCATCATCTTCTTCTTCAGGGTTATTGTTACTCTCCACTATCTCAGGTACATTACTTTCTTCACCCAGTGTGTCTCCCTAACTCAGTATCAGAGCTTTAAGGACCCAAAGTCATGTTTGGGTCCATTGCGGAGAGCTGATTTGAGACAGAGAAACCAAATGGGCTTTAATCAGCTTTTCTCCCGCTGCTGTTTTATCCTGAGAAGTTCTGGGGTGTGTGTGTGTGTGTGTGTGTGTGTGTGTGTGACTTCCTCATTTTATTTTAATATGTCTACTCTAATTCAACAAATAGCTATGGAGAGCCACTATGGAGCATCCTTACCAGGACAAAATGTCCCAAATGTCTACCAACTTTAAAGATAAAATAACCTTTCTAGACAGCATACCTTCTTCCAATAACTGCCCATTTATCTGGTGGTCTTCACAGCCAGACTCTGCAAAAGAAATACCTTTAGTTGCAGTCACCTGTTATCCCTGCTCCTCTTAGCCTTCTGATTAATCTTGTTTTCCCACCATCACTGGGACGGCCCTCCCCAAATTCTAAATTCACTGGCCACATCTCCCTCCTGTGGCACTTGACCTCAGCATTTGTTAAAGCTGACTGCCACACCCCCCCCCCAACGGGTAAAACACCAGCTTCTTCTGGTCCAGCCTTCCAGGTCTTCCTACCGGCTGTGTCTCTTCAGTGTTCTTTGCTGATTTCTTCCCACTGGCCTCAAATATTCCAGGACATTTTCAAAGCCCTCTTCCCTTCTCTATCTATATTCTCCCTAAATGAGCTCATCTAGTCCAATGGCTCTACACCACATTTACACAATTTTGGACTCCAATTTTTATAGAAATATTTAACTTCTCCTCCTGATATATACACTAACTCCTATTAAATGTTATCTCTTCTTGGATATATTTTGTTCTTTAGTATGCCAAGGAGAGATTTAACCATGTCACACCCTTATTCAAAATCCACTAAAGGTCTTCAAGGTTTGCCGCTGCCTCACTCTCCAAGCCTTGTCTCAACATATTCAGATGCTTCTTACCCCTAATAGTCACCTTATGCCATAAGACCAATGGAATTTCCCCAGCAGATTAAGCTATTTTAGACTTCATCCACATTTTTCTTATGTGTTTCCCTTTTCATAGGATATAGTTTCTCTCTCTCTCTCTCTCTCTCTCTCTCTTTTTTTTTTTTTTTTTTTGGTCAATATTCTAGTAATTCATAAAGACACAACTCAGACATTATTTGGTCAGCTAGCCAGCGTCAAATGCCCTTCCTTCAACTTCCTTCAAATCTTGGTCACTCATCAAGTACTTATCACTTACCTGTATCATGGTTTCTCTTTACCTATCTGTCCTAGTCAGTTCAGGCTGATGTAACTGATACCACAGACCGGGCAGGTTAAACAGCAGACATTTCTTGCTCACTGTTCTGGAGGCTGGGAAGTCCGCCATCAAGGTGCCCGCAGGTTCAGTGTCTGATGAGAACCCTCTTCCTGTGATCTTGCTGTGTCCTCACATGGCTAAGAGAAAGAAGAGAAGCAAGCTGTTTCATATTTCTTCTTATGAGGGTGTTAATCCCGTCACGAAGATTTCCACCCTCATGACCTAATTATATCCCAAAGGCCCCATCTCCAAAGAGCATCACGTTGGGAATCAGGGCTTCAGCTTATGAATGCGAGGGAAGGGGGACACAAACATTCAGTCCATAGCACTGTCTCTTCCCCTCCCCAGGATGTGAGCATCTCAAGAGTAGGGTCTGTGTCCTTCAGCCACATTGTCCCAGCACCTGGCAGAGTGTCTTGCAAGCAACAATATCTGCGTCAGCAACAACAATTAGCTCTTACTGGGAGCTTAATATGTACCAGGAATTGTACCAAGTGCTCAGAGGAATGTTATTGTTAAGACGAAAGTTTCTTCCTTATTCTTGGTGTTTCTTTCCATGTAGAGGAAACTGCTTGCATAGTACTTCTATCCTCCCCTCCCCAGAGAAAATTGAGTGATTTTTTTCTGATGCGAGAATTTAGAAGCAAAACTTGGGCGTACGTAGTTTAGCTCCATCTTCTTTGGTTCCTTGTAAGAAAACATTTGCAATGAGCATTGATTTGCCTCCCCATGCCAAAAAAGGCCCCTGTGACTGGAGCGATCAGTCTTCCTAATCCTGGGGGATCGTTCTATGAATCCCATTTTTCTTGGTTTTCCAATATCTGCTTTGTCGGGTTTGGTTTTTGTTTTGTTTTGTTTTGTTTTGTTTTTGTCATATATTGGTCTCTGTCTAATGACCCATAATTATTTCTCATTTGGTTCAGAGCCCAGCTAGGGGAAATGGAGGCTATTTATTGGATACTCACTCAAAGATTCCAACACTTATAAAGTCTTCAATGTTATTAGGCCACAAATAGGTTCTCAATAAAACTCGGTTGAACTCAAAGAAAATGAAGGTTAATATATGTCAAGCTAGGGTAGGTTATGCTTTGCTAAAATTCGCTATGAAGTCATACACACATTAGTTTATTTCTTGTTCATGCCATGTGTCTGGTATAGCTTGGTGGGAGACTCTTTTCCCTGGAAACTTTCAAGAACCCAATCTTATGGAATTACCATGATCTTATGATTGTCATCTTAGCATGTGACTTCAGGGCCTCTGGCAAAAAAAAAAAAAAAAAGGAGTGTTTGGAAGCTTATACCATCCTTTCTTGTTTCTATCTGAAGTGACATTTTCATTCACAACGAAGTAATATGACTCTGTTCTAACTACAAGGAAGGCTGGGAAATGTAGCAAAGCATATGGGATGTTTAATAAGCCTGACAGCCTGCGCCACAGGGCACTTGAATGTCATGGAGCACAATGTTTGGAGAAATGGAATTCTCGACTGGATTTCATGGTGAGTAGAAGGCATGTTGTGTGCAATGATCCTGACCGGCAGGAGATCAGAGGTGATGCACAGTAAAGGGCCAGCGGCAGGTGGAACTGGAGACTCCCCTCCTCACTTCTCAAACTGAAAGCTCCGTTTTCCTTGTTTATAAAATGAAGAAAATATTTCCTGCTTCGTAGGGTGGTATAAAGATTAAATTAGATAAAATAAAGAGTGCCAAGCAAAATGCCCCCAAGTTACTTCTCAGAACAAAAGAAGCCCTATTTTCAAGGGCTTACAAGTTCTCTCCTATTACAAGAGGCCTTCTCATTACTTTATCTGAACACACTAGGACTATGTGTTAAGATACGTTAGCCCGCAATGTACTCAATTAGTGTTAATTTTCAAAGCAATGGGGTCACCTGACAGCCCTGGATTTTCGAAAGGAAGCAAAGGAATTTGACAGATTTAGTCATTATTTCTGGGAGGAGTTATGATTTTCCGGCTGAAAGCACAAGGTGTCATTTGAAACAACCCTATTAAAGATGACTCTAAACAGTTTTGAGTAAAAAGAAAGACCGGCGCACGCTACAATATGGGTGAGTTGAGAACATAGTGTAAGTGAATGAAACTAGTCACAAAGAGACATACTGGATACTTCCACTTATATGAAATGCCCAGAATAGGCAAGTCCAGAGGGAGGAAGTTGACTTGTGTTTGCCTCGGGCTAACCGCCCCTGGCGGCTTGGGAGGAATTGTGAGGTGGCTGTTACTGGTTCTAAAGCTTCCTTTTGGGGTGAGGACAATGTGCTAAAGGTGATTGTGGCCCTGGTTTCATAGCCCTGTGAACAAACAAAAAACATTGAGTCGTGCACTTCAAATGGATGGATCATATCTCAATATAGATATCTCAGTGTGAACTGTATCTCAATAAGGTTCCAAAGAACAACTTAGTAAGTGGTTACCATGTAAATATTACAGTGACGAATGAAGGGGAAAAAATGCAAACGGCTACTGATTGCTTGAAATAAAATTTACAGTGACAGCGTCGTGGATCCAATGAGCTTTGAGTCCCAAATAACTGAGGCAGGAATGGAGTGGAGGTGTTCTGGACATCTTTCGGCGATGACTCGCAAAGTGGATCTAGACATGACCAAAGAGCAACATCAAAGAGGCATGTGGAGAATACAGTTGTTTCATGAAATGTGATGGTAGAAAAAGGATTTTTTAACTAATGTCTCTTAAAAATTCCAAAGCAAGTTTTAAAAAATAAGTTAGGGTTTTTTTCCTCTTCAAGGATGAAGTGTCACCACTTGGCAAGACATTCTGCAAGCATACCATCTTCTAGAATATTGTTCATGATGTGTTTTATATATATATATATACTTTAATATATAATATATAATGTGACTAAGTTAATAATATTGTGAGGAGACACTTGGCCATGTCATCAACATTTTTAACATTTATTTCATCAGATTAGCCACATAGTTGAAGGAATGTTCATATTAGAAAAACTCAGCAAGAGTGGAAGCATCTCAGGGTCCTGAAATTACATAGAATGAAGGAGCGCCCTTACTGTATTGGGGAATCTTGCCAGTTTTATTTGCCACATGGTTCTCCATATCATGAGATTCAGGCCACACCCAGGTTCAAGCCTGACTTAGAGGGAAGACTTCTCGAAGGCACAGATTACCTAGACCAGTGAAGACATGAGTAGGTGCTATTAAAGCCAGTTTGTGCAGAGTATTACAGATATGAATATTGCTCCTAAGGTATTTAACCACTCAATGTAGGAATTGTTCAAATGAGGACTGGATGATCAAACATCTGCACGTAATTCTGTCTGTAGTCCTATTTTAAAACCGCAGATTGCAATATATTAGTGAGACATGAAATCCATTTAGTGGGTACCCAACCAGTGCTGACATATTTTCTATTGTGTATTTTATTTAATATACGTTTGATCAGAATGCAATAGAAGAAATGAGGATAAAATTGAAGCATCATTATACACTGTATATGGTAGGCTAAGTAACGTTTCCTGAAAGCTTTTCAGAAGTGTGTGTGTGCATATGTGCACGTGCTTGGTTGCCATATAAGATTCATTTCTTATATGATTTGCAGCTTAAAACTCTTTGAATCACATTGTGGTAGAAGAAAATTCCTGCAGTGGGTGGGAAGCTGGATATGTTAGCCCCTAAGTTTCCATCTAACTCTTGATGGATTATTCCAGAACTCTCAGCCCTGAAGAAGAAAAAATGTCAGGCTCTTCCAAGACCGAGGAGATGGTGTGATACCCCACACTGCCGAAACACACACGTAAGAAACAAGCCCCCCGACCACGTAGTAATTACAAACAGATTGCATGACAGTGTTCATCAGCTCCAGAGAGAAGTCACTGGAGAAGCAAAACCCAGAAACTCTTCCATTGCTGTAACAGGAAAGTATTTCAGTGCTGGAAGTCACAAAACTAATGAATCTAAATGGAGAGACCATTTAAATTTCTAGACAGGGGAGGCTTGTAATCAATAAACTTCTTACCCTTAGTTCCTCCTAGGAGCCCTCATCTGTGTTAATAAAATTCTCGGTAGTAGGTCCCTTACCACTGATCCTATTGTCAACGGTGCGTGGGTGACGACACTGGGGCCAGAGTCCAGCACCACAATTGAAGACATGAGCACAGTCTGCCCACAGAACACTGGAATATCTCTTAAAAATTCCAAAACAAGTTTTTAAAAATAAATTAGGGTTTTTTTCCTCTTAAAGGATGAAGTGTCACCACTTGGCAAGTCATTCTGCGAGCATATGTTACTATAAACATATATAACTTTTTTGGAATAAAGAGACTGAAACTGAAACACTCTGGTTAAATCATTAACTCTGCAACTGTTCGACTCACGAAAGCAATAGTCCAACGTCAAAATAAGTTAATATTTGTTGAGCATAAACTATGTAACAGGCAATCCTGGCAAGTGCTATGGATTGACTGAAAAATCTATCTGACATAGTTTCTGCTATGTGAAATAACAGGAAATGGGATGTAACCAAATAACAAAAACAGAGGGCGGGCCATGATGGTAAGGATCAATCTTTTCTGGGTCAAAAACCTTTTCAGATGCAATGAAAACTATCCTGTCATTCAGCACTGCCCAGGGTCAGAGGTGTTTGCTACAGTCTTAGCTTAGGCTGTCGTCACAAAAGACCGTAGACTGAGTGATTCAACAAGAGACGTTCATTTTCTCATGGTTCTGAAGGTTAGAAGTCCAACATCAAGGTTCTCAACCGTTCCGTTTCTGGTGAGGTCTCTCCTCCTGGCTCGAAGGCAGCCACTATTGTGTTCATCCTCGTGCCCTCTTCTTTGTGAGCTTGTGGACAGACAGATGGCGAGGTCTCTGATGCGTCTTCTTGTAAGGTCATTCGTCCTATCAGGTTAAGGCCCCACCTTTAGGACCTCATTTAACTTTAATTACTTCCTCAGAGGACCGTCTCCAAATAAAGCCACATTGGGGCATCAGAGCTTCAACATATGAATTGGGGGTGGGAGGGGGGACACGGATATTCAGTCTGTAACAGCTCCCAAACCTGATCTACACCGGGAAGTATATAGTTTGCTTACTAGAATGTAAATCAAGCTAACTAAAACAAGTAGGAGCTCTGTAGTAGGCAGAATGATTGCTCCCCCAAGATGTGCACATCCTAATCCTTGCAACCTATGAAAATGTCAGATTACATGACAAGGGAGAATTAAAGTCATGGATGGAATTAAATTGCTAATCAACTGGCTGTAAAATACACAAATTATCCTGGATTATCCAGCTGACACAATGTAATGATAGGAGCCCTTAAAAGTGGAGGAGGCTGTCCGAAGTTAGAGACCCAGAGAGAGACAGAGGTGTGAGAAAGCACTGACCCGACTTCCCTTTAAAGATGGAGGGCGGGGGCCATAAACCAAGGAAAGTTGATGGCAAAGAAATAGATTTTCCCAAGACCTTCCAGAAAGTAATGCAGCTCTACCTCGATTTTATCCAAGGTAGAGACATGTAGGACTTCTGAAGGACAGACTGTACCATAATAAATTTGTGTAATTTTAAACCACTAACTTGGTGGTAATTTGTTATACCAACAATAGAAAATTATACCTCAATAAATTGGGTTTAAAAAGAATAGCTGTTATGACCCAATAGACTTTAAGGCAAGAAATTTTCCTGAAGCATTAGGGATACATTTTATGAGACAAAATTTTTATTTTACCAGGAAGATGTAGTATTTATAAGCAACATGGAACTAATAATATGGCCTCGAGACAACTAAAGTAGCAATAATGAACAGAGCTATACAGAAAAATATGCAAATCCACAATCAAAATGGTGGCTATGAATTCAGGTCTCTCAGTAATTGAGAGAACAAACAGACCAAAGCAGTACAAATATCAAAGATTTGACATCCTGCTGAACACATCCAACTCAATTTACTTACACAGAACATGGCTTCTAACAGCTGCAATGTATACATGCTCCTAAGTGGCGTATTTACCAATATTTTAAAATAAAGCAAAATCTACAAAATTTTCACAGACTGGAATCATACAGAATATATTCTGACCTCACAGAATTTAGCTGAGAATTATAACAAAAAGCTAATTAGAAACTAATCTTATATTTGGAAATTTAAAAATGATCTTTTGAACAACTCATAACTCAAAGGGGAAATCAAAATAAAATTTTTAAATACCTTCAAGTTAATGATAATCGAAATACAAAATGTCAAAACTTCTAGAACAGACAGAAGCTGTGCTTAGAAGGTAATTTGTGGTCTATTGGAGAAAGGTAACGGGTTAAAAATCCGTGATCTCAGCATCAACCTCAATAAGTTCTTTAAAAAAAAAAAAGTCAATTAAATCCAAAGAAGGGAATAACAAAGATAAGAGTGGAAATCAATCAAATAGAAACAAGCATACAACAGAAAGAATCAACAATGTCAAAAGTTTGTTACTTGAAAAGACTGATACAACTGATAAACCCCTGGAAAGAATAGTCAGACAAAAAGGAGGTTAAATAAACAACATCATAAATACAAAGGGGGACAGAAGTAGAAAATTCTAGGGAAAAAAATGTAACTTCAGTATTTTCCTGGAGTAGAATATATGGGAATATATGGATCTCCTACTGACCAGCAAGGGACTTGGGGAAAGATTCTACATCTTGTTTGTTGTAATACTCTCCTGGGTCCACTCATTTGTCAAAGTTCATTGAACTGCACACTTAAAAGTCATTCACCTTATAGGATAAGAATTATACCTCAATAATGTCCACTTAAGGAAAAGGAGTAACTACTAGAAAGGAAGGGAAAAGCTGCCATCATTCAGAGATACGATTGTGAATGTAGAAAGGCCAGAGAACTACACATAAGCTGTGGAATTCAAAAATTAATACAAGATTGCTGGATTCATGGCCAATATCACAAAATCAATTGTGTTGCTAATTACCAACAACAATCAGAAAATGAAATCCAAGAGAAGATACTATTTACATAACATCATCGAGTGTTCCATGGCTTAACTGCGAATAGAGTTTTACAGCCATGGTAAAATATCCATTGAATAGTGACATTAGTTTCTAGGTAGAATTATGAGGGGTTGTAATAGTGCCCTGCGGACTGTGGTGACAGTCAGGGAGGGGCTGAGAAAGGCCCTACATTCAGGATTTGGAAGTAAGAGGAGGGTGATTGAAACAGATCAGTAAGTGACAACGTAAGTGGTTTATTTAGAGACATGGAAATAGATACATAATAGTAACTTGATTCTTAAGCTATATGCATGCATAGTTTTGACAAAAATAAAACAGCTTTAAAATGAGACCACAGAGGCACCTGGGTGGCTCAGTCGGGTAAGCGTCTGACTTCAGCTCAGGTCATGATCTCCCGGTCTGTGAGTTCGAGCCCCGCATCGGGATCTGTGCTGACAGTTCAGAGCCTGGAGCCTGCTTCAGATTCTGTGTCTCCCTCTCTCTCTGCCCCT